ATAATTTGATTTTGGTAGGGTTGGTTTGTAATTGTGTTTTGTATAAGAGATATATCAGGTGGTGAGATTGTTATTTCCAGTAAAGTATATGTTGTTGGTGTTGTAAGGGAGTGGTATATTTTATGTATAGCTTGGATTTCTTGTTAGTTGATGCTAAGTTTAAATTGTTGGTTTTCTTTCTGAGTTTTACATTTGATGTTGATTAGTTAATTAAATTTATATTTTCTATACTGATATTATCAACTAATAAAAAAAAAAAAAAAAATACTTAGGAAAGTTAAAAATATTTAATTTAAAGTAAATAGTGGTTTTTTTTTTATTTATGTTAATCGATAACTGGTCCTTTCAGAAGAGTGAAAAGGACCTATATTTATACAAAATTCATTTTTTAAGAAAAACTATATGAATACTAATTTATTCTTTTAATACTAAGCTTATTCTTTATACTAGTGAGCAGTTATGTTAAGCCTTAAGTAGTACAAAACCACACTGCTCACTTCAATGTTTATTGTTTTACTAATTTGTAAATCTTTTAGTATTATGGCTTAAACAATCAACTCGACTGCTCGCCCTAATATTTACATTAGTCAATATCACGGTTCTTAAACATAAACAAAGGTATGAGCAGGACGAAAATATAAATAATAACTATTTACAAGCAGAGAGAATAAATAAAACAAATAATAAAAGAAATAATAGAATAATAATAAAGAAAATAGAAAAAAATAAAAAATAAACATGATACTGAACAGGGCTACTAGCTTACAATTTAATATATTTCTCCTTTTTAGACTTGAGCTCCTGTGAAAATCTTATAAAGCTCGATAAAGTCCAATTTTTCTTTATTTTTTATGGCTTTGGCCTTTTCTACTAACTTCTTAAAGTTACTTTTGTACATTTTTAGTAGGACATAGAGTGTGATATATTAGACACAAAGGAGGTTTGGGATACAATAGAAGAGATATAGAGTATAGGTGTGTAGAGCTTTCTTCCAAATATTTCAATAACCGTTTAGAAATTTCTTCTGAACTATATTACGAACAAGGTCTCCCCAATTTTTATCATCGAGCTTCTCTCCTAGAAGATAAAAGTTTTGTAGGATAGTTATCAGGTCTAGTGAGAGTTTGTTCAACTTCTCATAGAGGAGTTGCACTTGCAGGTCCCAACTCTCTCCAATCATAGTTTCTAGAGATTGGAGAGTTAATTCTTTCCTTTATAAGTCCTTTCGGAAGAATAGCATTTTCTTATGAGTCTTTTGGGCTTCTATGAGAGTAGAGAAATCTCTACTTCTACTTCTAGTCCTTGTTGATTCTTATAACCTATTTTCTTTTCAGAGATAATAAAGATTCCTTCTGTTTCTTCATTTTGGACCTGTCATTGTAGTAATAATAGTATCTTTCTAATATTGTAGGGATCAATGAGGAATTCATTTTTGGTGTTCGTTCTAGTGGTCTGTAAATATTTATTTTTATAGAGTTTTTTTTTTTTTTTTTTTTAATTTATTTATTTATTTATTTATTTAGACAAAGTATTTCTTTAACCTATTACCATGTACAGGTTTTTTATAAACTTTTCCAGCTATAGTTCTTAATTTGTAAGCACCATTCCCAAAACTCTTATAGATATAGTAAGGTCTGATCCACTTTTCCTCAAGTTTGAAGTTATGCGATGTTGCTAAAGATGATTTGAATAGGAGCACCAAATCGCCAATTTCGTATAACTCTATTTGATGTTTAGAGTCATGATATTTCCATTATTTTTGTTGCACCTTTCAGATCCTATCATTAGCTTGGTAGCAGGCATCTACTAAATTTCCTATTAGCATTTCAATCTGTCTTAATATATTTCCTTGTAACTCATTTTTGGTCATTAGCTCAGTGTGGAAAGTAAGTAGAGTAGTCTCTATAGAGAGGAGGTCATCTTAACTATAAACTAAGAAAAAGGGTTCATATCAAGTGATGCTATGTCAGGTTATTCAGTAGACAAATAGGGCTAGGGATATGTAATCATCCTATTCATTACTGAATTGGCTTAGGCACTTAGCAAGTACTTTGCAAAGAGTCTGATTAAATCTTTTGACCAACCCATTAGTTTGTGGGTGATAGGTGGTAGATAACTTATGATTAATTTTTATTTTATTGCAGAGAGCATCTACTATTTTATTACAAAAATGAGAGCCTTGATCAGAAAGTATTATTTTCAGGCTCCTATGATAACAAATTATATCATCGAAAAGGAATTTAGCTACTGAGATAGTATTAGCTTTCTTTAGGGCACAAGCCTCAGGCTATCAGGTTAAATATTTGGTAGCAACGACAAAATATCAGCTTCCTTTTGTTGTAACTAGTAGTGGCTCTACAATATCTATTCCTAATCTGTCAAAGAGTTGTCCAACTTGGATCAGATGCAATAATTCTCTGGTTTTTAGTTGTTCATGTCATTGACAAGAGTTACATGATTTAACATAGAATTTAATATCTTCGCCTATTTGAAGCCAGAAATATCTTACTGAAGTTCATTATAAGGTAAACAGAACATTAAAATAGCCAGCTAAAGGGTCTGAATACATACTGAATAGAACTACTTCTATTTCAGAAGGTTTAAGAACTCTCTAGGGTCTTGAAGGAGTATACTGATTTTTCTTATATAATAACCCTTCCTGAATTAGGTAATTTCAGGTTTGATATTTTAGTCATTTAGGATTATATTCTGAAGGTACTGTGGCATCACTAAGGTATCTTAAAAATAAATAATAGGTGTCAAGATCTATCTTGAGTTATATCAGTGAAGAGGTTTTTCTGTATTTTGTTGTCTATGTCTATAGTTCGAGGTGTATTTATTTATTATTTTTTTTTTTTATTTTTATTTTTTTTATATGTATATATATATATAGGTTTCGACTATATACAAGATAGGCTGTCTACATTCAAATGTCTTTTTCTGGCTTTATGAATCGTTTTAAAAGAATACTCTTACAAGGTTAAAATCCAATAGACGAGACGATTCTGAGGCAATTTGTGAAAGAACAGAAAACTTAATGCTGAGTGATCCGCATATAAAACAAAAAAGATACTATGTAAGTATTGTCTATAGTAGAATACAGCTTATACAACTGCTAAACACTCTTTTTCTGTTATTGAATAGTTTCTTTTGACTGGGAATAAACTATAGCTGGCATACGATATGACTCATTCTTTACCTTCAGAATCGAGTTATGAGAGGATAGCTTCTAAGGCTAGGTCAGAAGTATCTGTAAATAGAAGAAATATCTTGGTCTTGTCCGAGTAGGCTAAAATAGAAGCAGTGATAAGGTTTAGCTTAACTTTTTAAAGGCTTGTTCTTGTTTAGAACTCACTTATAATATTTATTTTTCTTTAGTAGTAAGTTTAATGGGATTGCTATATCAGTGAACCCTGGTACGAATTTGCAGTAATATGAAGTAAGCCCTAAGAAGCATCTGAGCTGTCTCATATTACAGGGAGTAGAGAAGTTTTGAATATCTTGGATTTTCTTGGGTCAGTTGAGATTCCCTTGGTATTTACTATATATCCCAAGAATTTTAATTCTTGCTTCGCGAAGAAGCACTTCTAGGGTTTTAACTTTAAGTTAGCCTCTCTTAAATGACAGAAAACTTCTTGGAGATGGAAAAGATAGTTGCTAAAGGTTTTAGAGTATATATTAATGTTATCAAAGTATATGACAATGAAATTTCCTATTAAATCCCAGAAAATTTCATCTATTAACCTTTGAAAAGTGGCAGAAGTATTAGCTAGTCTAAAGGGCATTATGTTAAATTCATAGATCTCTTTGGGTATAATAAATGCCATCTTTTCTTTATCTTTTTAGGCTATTTTAACCTGCTAATATTCACTAGTGAGGTCTAGGGATATATACTATGATGCTTCTTTTAAAGTATCTAAAAGGTCAGCTATTATAGAGAGGGGATAACTATCCTTTTTGGTGATGTTATTGAGTTTCCTATAATCGATACAGATACAGGTTTTCCTTTTACCTTGCTTGACTAAAACTACAGGAGATGACCAAGGGCTATATAATTTCTTTATTATTCCTTCTTTTTGCATCATTTTTAATTCATCTTTAAGGAATTCTCTTTCCTTTATTGAGCAAGGTATAGATGTTGTTTAATTAGGAGGGTGTCACTGGTGAGTATCTTATGTTGATATTTATTCATTTGTCCGAGTTAGGAAATGTTTTTTGCAAATAGATTTAGGTTTTTATTTAGGATTGATATTAATCGATCATTATCTTCTGAGGTAAGTCCTCTATATTATAGGTAATAACTAGATCTTCTTTTTCATCAAAATAAAAGTCAGTAATCTCTTTGTACCCTTTGTCTAATGGAGTTTCTGGAGTTAATCCAAGAAACTTGTCAATGCATTGTTCATTATTCTATTCTATACTTATTGAGTTATCATCTATTAGCTATGGATTATCCATAGGCCAAGGGTTAAGCTGAGCTATTAAACTTATCTCTTTTTTATTCGTATCATAACTCCATCCATAATTTTCTTTTATTCCTCCCACATAATCGTCTTTACTGTCTAGGTCTCACCAAGCTTCTCCAGCCTCAAGGTTATTTCTATTAAGGTTCCCATAATATTCTTCATAGTCAGACTCTTCAGAAGAGTCTTCAAAATTATCTCTTCTATTCTCAAACTCTGAAAGTCCATAAATTCGATCCTCTAATTTCTCTTCTTCAAATTCTTCTTCTTCTTGTTTCTTCTTCAGTTTCTTCTTCTTCACTAATGTTAATTTCTTTCTTGTTTATTTTTGTAGATCTTTTAGCTTCGAGCAGTTCTGGGGTCATTTTTAAAATTCTTTAGGTACAGTAATCTCTTTCTCTTCTCATGTTAGAATCATCTCAAAGACATTCTAGTCTATTAGGGTGCTTACTTTGGACAACTATTTATTCTCTACAAGGGCATTGTAGGAGCTAACATAAGTTATTATGATGTCTACTAGTATTTTCATTCCTCTTATGATGAAGGGAAATTCGAAGATTTCACCAATAGCTCTCTTACTTTTACTATAGACATTAATCATATTAACTATGAACAGGTAGTCTATCTTTATACCTAGGTCTTTTAAGAGATATAATGATATAACACTTCTGGATGATCTACTATCAACAATCAGCAGAATCACTTTTTCTTAGACTTTTGTATCATAGTATAGGGTAGTAGACTTCTGGATATTTTGTAAATTCACTTTGGCTTTGATCTTTCTTCTAATCAATATCTTTTTCTTTTGTAGTAACCTAATTAAATCAGTTCTCATGGAAGGAGCAGCCTTGAACAATTGCCCAAAAGTAATATTGGCTAGTTTATCTCAAATTTCAGTGACAATTGAGTATAGGGAGACTAAAGACGATATTTAGGGCTGTTATCCTCTAACTTTTTTTTCATATAGGTGTAGTTTTTTTAGGGGTTTCTTTTCCTCTATAGGATTACATCGAATTATAATAGATTGCATTTCTTCTTTATTATCTTTGTCTTCTACTATTTCTTCTTCTATTAATTCTGTGTTTTCTTCATCTACTTTTCTTTTCTTAGTACAGGTTTTGATTGGATTGTTTTTTCTTATTTCTACCTCTGCGGGGGTAAAAATAGAAGTATCTTTAGCATTAATCTCTAAGTATACTGGATGTTCTTCTGGAGGTCCAAGTTGGATAGTTTGTTGAATTAAATTTCATAGTACTAGTAATGTTTCTTAGAAGTTTGTGTCATTTGGTGAATTTGGTAAGGGATTCATTGGAGAGTTATTCATAACTGAGAGCTGCTGGGGAGTATTACAATAATGGCTAATATGCTCAGGGCATCTACAGTTATAGCACACAGTCAGATTCGAGTTCAGATTTCTTTGATTATTTTGGTAATTTCTTGACGAATATCTTTGATCTTGTATTTGAGCTATCATCCTATTCATTATTTCAGTAAGCTAATTTATAGCAGATTCAGTTCTATTTGAAAGGGCAGTTGGAACTTAGATGGAAATAGATTGATGCTGAGCGGGTTGAAGTAGGTACCCTATAGTTTAATCTAGAAAAGCAGTATATATAAGGTTTTGTTTATAAGCATTTTCGAATACTTTAGCTCTATCGTATACAGCTTGTAGTGTATTTGGCATAAAAGGAGAAATGGCCATATACAATTCTAATCTTAGCCCATTAATAAACATTTGGTTTTTAGCTGAATTGGGGTATTGGTGACCTCCAGCCTCAACTCAGTGAATCATTTCTTTGATAGCTATATGATATGAATTAACATTTTCTCTGAGAAGTTGTTTTCATTAGGTTAACTAGGTGAACCATTTGCCTTCTAACTCAGGGGGTTCGAAATTTTGTGATGAAATTAGCCTTAAAACTTTGAGCGGTGTTAGCATTATTACTCCAACAGTCAATTCTTGGTACTTGGTGTTTAGTGAATTCCTACTACGTAGAAGCTGATCCTCTTAGTTTAGGGACTATTACAAAGATCTTTCTACTATCAGCAATACAGTTGGCTTTGAAAGCCTTTTCTACATTCTCTAACCAAGAGATCGGGTCTTGATCTCCTCCTGAAAATTCAGGATAGAGAACCAAATTTAGTTCCTGGTGAGCAACTGGTATATTTATTTGTAAAACTAGCACTACCTACATTTACTGAACCAACTGGGTGATTTGGTTCACAAGGTTATTTAAAGAGTTATTGGCCATTATAATTCTTTTAGTAAGTTATAACTTGGTTATGAGAATATTCTAAGTTAATGTTTCTAATCTAATGTTTATGATAAATTATTCAATGTTTCACACAACTGGCACCAAATGTTACTATTGTAAATTGGGAGAGTGATTATTGAGGTACGGTTTAGCTCCAATAGTTAATGTGGTACAGGTTATAATATCTAATTTCTAATAAATGGGGAATTGATAATAATAGGGTTCTATAAACTATATATATATGAGTCGTGTATTATATAAAGGTCGGATTGATGATTTAAGGGATGATCGGAATAATTTGATAATTAATACTAAGGGGATGATGTTACTCTTAATCGTATAACAATAAACTAATTACTTAAAAGTGATCTAAACGTTGATCACAATATCAATAATAAATCAACACAAGACGAACTCGGTCTGTGTTAGTACGTCAGATATATTCAATCAGACTATTCTAAATGTCTGATTATCTAATCCAAACAGTATTCTCGTCGTATTTCGTTACTCGTAATACTTAAACTATACAATAATCTAAACAATAATATTACACGTGATGTTACTTTCTATAAAACTCGTCAAGAATACGGCTCTTAGTTACTCAGTGAAAGGTCTATTCGGCCTCAATGCTTACTTCCTTTATGTTAATTAAGAGACCCAGCGTATTCTTTATCCAATAATTTAACAAACGTGGTGAGGAATCGATTATTAATTAAAGCGGGATTAGGGAATTTAACACTTAGGAAAGTTAAAAATATTTGATTTAAGGTAAATAGTGGTTTTTTTTTATTTATGTTAATCGATAACTGGTCCTTTCGGAAGAGCGAAAAGGACCCATATTTATACAAAATTCATTCTTTAGGGAAGACTATACGAATGCTAATTTATTCTTTTAACGCTAAGCTTATCCTTCACGCTAGTGAGCAGTCATGTTAAGCCTTAAGTAGTACAAAACCACACTGCTCACTTCAATGTTTATTGTTTTACTAATTTGTAAATCTTTTAGTATTATGGCTTAAACAATCAACTCGACTGCTCGCCCTAATATTTACATTAGTCAATATCACGGTTCTTAAACATAAACAAAGGTATGAGCAGGACGAAAATATAAATAATAACTATTTACAAGCAGAGAGAATAAATAAAACAAATAATAAAAGAAATAATGGAATAATAATAAAGAAAATAGAAAAAAATAAAAAATAAACGTGATACTGGACGGGGCTACTAGCTTACAACCTAACAATAGGCGTTATTTTGAAGCCAAGTATAATATTTTTAGAGAATGTGATTTTCGAAATAACGCTCATGTGCGTTATTCCGCGGTAATAGTAACTTAAATGAATACACCCAAAAAGGTTATTCTTTACTACTACTGTATTATCCTTATAAAAGTTGTAACAATATAATTACAATAAATTGTGCAACATGAAATATATTTTTTAAACAAACTATTGACATGGATTAGATAAAACCCTTTCAACATTATCATGTCTTTTTACTAATCTAATATTATACTCTTCGGGCCATACAGTGATACCAAAATGTAATTTGTCCAAATTAATTGGTGTTGGTTTACCATCTTCGTCCAACGG